TGTTTTTGGACTGACGTTTTTATAGCCTAAACACACAGCCTTAACTTTAGAGGATTTGTTGTGGAGAGAAGGAAACTAATAAGTGTTTATCATAGATAGCCTATGTATATGATATCTATGGTGTTTATAATGTTTGTAAACATTTTGCTTCACCGGCATTTTAGCACATTATTTTTTAATCTAGCCTAATAATAAAATGGGACGTGAGCCTACGCAACTTGTTTTTTTTTTTCCCCCTCTCAAAATGCAATTTTATACGAGTAGCATTTTTAACAATGCAGCAAACATTTTTAAACATCTTAAATACTTTAATGTCTTTAAAGCATTAAAAGATTTTTTTTCTTTTGTTTAGTAGCCTATAATTTGGCCAAAATCTAGAAATGATGATGATGTATTGGCTGTGGCTGAGCGAGGCGGGTTAAGATACCAGATCTCTTCCCGTTTTTTTTTTTTTTTTGAGTAGCAAACGCAATTATTATTAATACTTTATTATTAGGCTACTGTTATTATTGTTATTATTGGCAAAGGAAAAGTTTTTTTTTTAAATAACGTTATTAACCTGTATTTTTTCTAGGCAAACCAGTTTCGGAACGATAATAATACAGAGGAACACAGGAACAGAAACGTTAAAATATCGATTCTGCTCAGAGTGAACCGATTGGATTTGTTTTTTGTTTTCAAGCCCTGGTAGCATTTACAGATAACAGTGTATCTAAAAGTATGAGACAACAACAAACACAAAGCATGCCATTAAGATCCGTGCTTGCACAGGTTCTGCGTGATCCTCGTCACTAATATTCTTTGGGTCTCTATCGGCCTCAAATTGATAAGCAATATTGATGACGTCATAGTTTACAATACAACACCGGATCACATGCACTGAGCTGAGGGGCGGGACGTTTCAGCACGCGCACTGGCAGTTTAGCGAATCACAACACACTGGGCCAGCTAACCAATCTGAGCCCATTGCGTATTTCTGAGGGAGGGGCTTCATAAAACCAGGAAATCATCAGCGCGTTTATCGGAGAAGGGACAGAGCAGTGTAGAATAAAGGTAAATTATGTGAAAAAAAACATTTTTTTTTTTTTTAACGAAGCATTAACATGTTAGACTGCACCCTATAAGCACAATCAAGACTAGAAAAAAAAAAAAAAAAAAACAGGCAACCACCCCTTTAAAGCAAAAACATATTCATCATGGAAAAGGTGAATTTAAGTCATTGCATGCATTAATTGAAATTTTAATTAATATTTAAAAGATGTTGTAACCCACTACCGTTACCTGTTATAGCACCAGTGGTTTCTGCAGATGGTTGACTAGTGTCTCCGAGGCCAGAAGTGGGTGGCAGGGGCGGCTTGATTTCCTCGTTCTCCTCCACGACTGGAAACTCCCACTGGGAAGCATTTGTCCTCTCGTTCACATAGAAGTACCGTCTGTGCTCTCTAGAGGTGGAGAAACAAACACACAGAAGCGTCTTAGCAAATGTTCCCTCAACTGATTTCAAGGTCATGAGACCCTTGGAGAGTCAAAGGAAAGTGGGGCTCTAGTTCCCTAATGAGGGAATGTTGAACTGGGCTTCACTGGGAGCCCAGAAGAGAAGCCAGATTTGGAAGGGGTGCATTCATAAAGAACCCACCTTATTCTCTAAGAAAAAAACATGGCAAAAAAAAAAAGAAAAGAAATTTCCAATCCTGAAAAGCTTACAGACATTATTACAAATCACTTCGTCTCAATTGTCATGGCAATACTCACACTGACAGTGACAAAACCCCTCCGCAAGATGCCTTAAGGCAGGCATCTTCAACAGAGGGTAAAAGACAACATTTTTATTGAACAGTCATCAATAGAGTGCATGGAAAAGAAATCCAGTAAAGCAATGAAATAGATTGGTCTGACCTTCAGGCTCCGAGGGCAAGGCATCGTCTTCCTTTACTGATGCTTGTGACACGCTGCTTCCACGTGGTCACTCTGTGTCACTCATTTCTCCCATCATTTTGGGGGCAGTCCTGTAAAGTTCAAAGCTCTCGCACGCGCAACCACCTTCCTAACACTTTAGACTGACTTTGAGGGGAGGAGATGGGGCCCAAATCTTTGGCGGTCAGGCTGGCCCTTTTAGAGACGCTCCCTTATCAGGATTACCTTCTGTCTTTATCCGTGCTCGTAAACACTCCCCAGTAATACAACCAAGTGCAAATCAGTCGCGCGTTTGTCATAGCAGCGGAGGCAGTGTCAATCGTCACATGAGGAGGGGGACTTTTAGGGAGGGGGAGTGATAAGGATGTGAAAGGTAAGGAGCGCGTACCTGTCCCAGTGGCAGGACCAGCCTTTGGGAGTGGCGTTAAGTTCGTAATGTTTTATGTGCTCGGCAGCTTCCTGTAGCCTGCGCCGGAGATAGTTTCCGTTCAGGGCACCCTCTCGCCAGTCTGCGATCCTCGTCTGGAGGAAGGGAAATGAGTCGAAAGGCCATTTCAATATGCATATTGGCAGAATAAATATAAACACACATACATATATTTCTTTAGTTTAAATGTGTTTACACAAACAAAAATACATATTTAAACATTTGTTAAAATGTTTTTTGTTAACATATACATCACCACATAATTATGGTCACACTTTAGTTTGGGCACCAATTTTCACTATTAACTATTATGTACAACTTTTGCCTCAAACTCCTAATTTGCTGCTTATTAATAGTTAGTAAGATAGTTAAGTTTGGGTTAAGTTTAAGGAATCTAAAATATGGTCGTGCAGAATAAGGCAGTAATATGTGCTTTACAAGTACTAATAAACAGCCAATGTTAATAATAGGCATGCTAATAAGCAACTAGTTAATAGTGAGAATTGGTCACTTAACTACAGTGTTACCATAATTTTTATTACAAATATATAAAAATCTGGTTTTATTTATATAGCATAAACCACTTATGTTATGCTCTTTATGTCAGTGTTTTCTTACCTCCGTTTGCAGCAGCAGCAGTTGAAAGTTCGATATGGCTTTCTTGTCAATTCCCAAAAACTCCATTTTGCTGGTGAGTGTGTTAGCAAGCTCTCCGATCTGAAACTAAAGGAGGCAAGACCAACAACTCTAAATGAAGTCTATCACATAACATTTCAAATTACCAGTAACTGTAACTTGCAGCTTGTTTCCTCTAAATATTCCTCAAAGTAGTGTTACTAAGGGGTATACCTGAAGTTGTTTAAATACAATACAAAAAAAGCTCTTGGCTGCTCATTTTATTTCTGCAGTTGTGACATTTTTTTGCATTGAAAAGAAAAACCGCTAAAACGAGATTTGATTTTAGGAAGTTAATACTATTATTCAGCAAAGATGCATTCATTAAAATGATCAAAAGTGACAGTAAAGACATTTGTTATAATGTCACAAAAGACTATTTCAAATAAATATTGTTCTTTTGAACTTCCTATTTAATCAAAGAATCCTGTAAAAACAAATGTACCACAAAAATATTAAGCAGCACAACTGTTTTCAACATTGAGATGAAATGTTTCTTGAGCACCAACTGATTTCTGAACTGGATGAAGTCTTATATTTGAAGTTTCCACAACTGATTCTGTTTTTACTGTAACGCTGCTTTGAAACAATTTGTATTTAATAAAGTGCTATAGAAATAAATGTGACTTGCCTTTGCCATCACAAATAAATTAAGATTACATTAAAAGAGAACAATTATTTATTGGTTGAAATAATATATTTCACAATATTATTGTATTTTTATTCAAATAAATGCAGCCTTTGCGAGCATGAGATCAGTACAAAAGCAATAAAAGCAGAAATGTGTATTAAAGAAAAAAAATGGTCAATTTTGATTCCATTGACTTCAATTCATTTCAATTACCTTGAGGTCCTCTTCTTCCTTTTGAAGAGCTTTGGATACAGGCTTCTCCTTTTCATCTTCCTCTCCTTGCTTCTCAGCTGTTTTAGAATGTGCTTGAAACACAAAAATGTTCAGTAAGTCATTCATTCATTATTTGGTACGACACCTAATTTCTGTCAAATTATTTACATTTCTAAGCACTTCTATTATTACTGCCAATCTTTACCATTGTCTGAATGCTCTGGAGTGGCCCATTCTGCCTTGTCTGAGCCCCGGCTGCTCGAATCAGGACTTGGCGCACGGAGGAAAGCCGTCTTCCATTTGTTCATGTGTGTGTATTTATATATACATAAATATACACAGTACACACATGTAACCAAAAACTTAATTAAGATTAATCATTTGACAGCATTAATAATATATATATATATATATACACATTTATTAGGGGTGTAACGGTACACGTATTCGTACCGAACCATTTCGGTACGGGTCTTTCGGTTCGGTACGCATATGCACCGCATGAATACAGTCTTTTTTTTTCTTCTTCTCAGGAAATTCAAATAATAAATGGCGTTTTGACCGTCTTTTATGTGGCATGGCAGATCGCTGTATAAACGCCTTAGAGAGCCGCTTCTGGGACGGTTCAGAAACGTGCTGGTATAATCCCAACACAAGCACTGACTAGAGCGGCCGTGATCAGCTCCGCTTCCCGTGTCTGAGCCGTGACACCCCGCAGATTTGTGCAGAGCGGAGCGTGAGTGAACGCGATCATTCCTTCCTCTGTACTACTAGTTTTAACGCGAATAAACATGACTGAACATCTCATGCCTCATGTAATTGCTCAATCAGTGTTTCAACCGCAGAAAGACATCAACAATACAGCGTGGAAATAAAATGTCACGTAGCATTTAATTTACCTCAGCAAGTCATCAGTGTCCACAGCTCGTTAGTTCACTAGAGAAATTAAGTCTAGAGAGGAGCATTTTGCGAAATATTACACCCTATACTCATTATATTTTACTAAACCTGTTAGTCTTAATTACTTAATGTACAGTATGTTTAAATTAATCTGTTATGAAACATGCTATGACAGCCATTGTGTAATTGAATATATTTGAACAAATAGCTTAGAAATTTTATTATTTATAAGTTAATTTAAAAACTGCATTATATGCTATTTACATGTTTGCATACTAATTTTTTTAAGTTGAGTGTTGATCATCTATTTAAAAATAAATAGCAATTAAATTTAAGTTTGGGTTCAGTTGTTAGGCCTAATTGTAACCTTATAATGTAAAAGGGCTCCCCATAGTTAAGCATAAGCTGAGGTAGATTTTTATAACTATAACTGAATGTATTTAAAGAAAGAGCAACTTGTTCAGTAAACCAATAAAAAATTTTTTTTTTTTTTTAAAGTTTAGTTTTTCCCCTGCTGTACCGAAATCATACTGAATCGTGACATTAAAACCGAGGTACGTACCGAACTGTCATATTTGTATACCGTTACACCCCTAATAAATATATATATATATATATATATATATACTGTAT